TGGAGGCTACTTGGGCGCTGCTAGCGATGCTGCTGCTGGTGCTGTTTCGCCCCTATGGGCGCTAGCGAGCTGTCTCCGTGCGGCCGCCGCGGCGCGCGCGCGTCGGGAGGCCCAGAACTTGGCGGGCCCGCCCAACGCGCGCGGCGGATGCCGAGGGGAAGAACGCCGGGAGGCCGGCCCGCCCGTCCCTCCCTGCACGCTCGCAGCGCCCACGGGAGGCGGCCCCCGCCTCTCTGACGTTCGGGAGCCCGTCCGCCTCCAGCCGCAGGCCCACCTCGCGCGGCTCTCTCCCCACGGTGTATGTATATATATATATATATATATATATATGTGTGTGTGTCTATGTGTGCGTGTATGTTTGCGTGCGCGTGTGTTTGTGCGTGTGCGTGTGCGTATGCGTGAGCAGTGTGCGTGTGAGAGAGAGAGAGAGAGCGTGCGAGTGCGTGTGGTGTTTGTGTGTGTATGCGTGTGCGTGTGCGTGTGCGTGTGCGTGTGCGTGTGCGTGTGCGTATGCGTGAGCAGTGTGCGTGTGAGAGAGAGAGAGAGAGAGCGTGCGTGTGCGTGTGGTGTTTGTGTGTGTGTGCGTGTGCGTGTGCGTGTGCGTGTGTGCGTGTGTGTGTGTGATTGTGTGTGCGTGTGCATGTGTGTGCGTGTTTGTATGTGTGTGTGTGTCTGTTTAAGTGACTGTGTGTAAGCGTGTTTGTGTGTGTGTGTGTGTGTGTGTGGGGGGGGGGGGGGGGGCGGGGGGAGGGGCGGGGGAGGGTGCGTGTGTGTGTGTATGTGTGCGTGTGCGTGTGCGTGCGTGTGCGTGTGCGTGAGAAGTCTGCGTGAGAAGTGTGCGTGTGTGAGAGAGAGAGAGAGAGAGCATGCGTGTGCGTGTGGTGTTTGTGTGTGTGTGTGCGTGTGCGTGAGAAGTGTGCGTGTGCGTGTGCGTGTGCGTGTGTGCGTGTGTGTGAGTGTGTATGTGTGTGTGTGTGTTTGTGTGTGTGCATGTGTGTGCGTGTGCGTATGTGTGCGTGTGTCTGTTTAAGTGAGTGTGTGTGTGAAAGCGTGTGTGTGTGTGTGTGTATGTGTGTGGGTGTGCGCGAATGTGTGTGTGTGTGGGGGGGGGCGGCGGGAGGGGCGGGGGGAGGGTGCGTGTGCGTGTGCGTGTGCGTGTGCGTGTGCGTGTGCGTGTGTGTGTGTGTGTGTTGTGTGTGCGTGCGCGTGTGTGTGTGTGTGCGTGTGTGTGTGTGTGTGTGTGTGTTTGTGTGTTTGTGTGTGTGCACGTGCTGCTCTCGCCGTCGCTCAAAGCGTTGGAAAAGGGGAGCCTGGTTTTGTATGCACTAGCGCTGTCATTGTTCCCCAACCTGCTTCCCTCTTTTCGCTTGCGCGGGCACCCCCCGCCGTCTCCGTCTTCGGACGTTGTCTCGATCTTCCCACTCCCCAGCCTGCCCTGGGGTTTATGTGCGGTCGATCCGAAGTGGTCCCGCGTCTGAGGTCAGGGCCGCATGCGCTCGCTCGCCTCCGGCTGCTCGACTTGCTTCGCTCCATCGCCGCGCGCGAGGCCGCGGCCGCGCAAGTGTGCGTATGCTGCGGGCAGCGGCCCTGGCCCACTGGGCGCCCCTGGCCTGCACACAGGGGGGCCCACACGAGCGGCGAACTGCAACGGACCCCTCGCGAGAAGACGTAGCGACCTTGCGCCGCGGCTCACGCGGGCCGCCAGCGGGCGGTCCCAGCACCTCAACCCTGGGGCGCGGAGCGCCCCAGGGGCGCAGTCCGCGGCGGCCGCCAGGGTGTGGAGACCGCCCCGGGGCTGCTCGGGAGGGCTGTTGAGGCCAGCTGGGGCTACCTCGGGGGGGGGGCCTGCGGAGTCCAGCCAGGATACTACCTCTGGGGGGGGCTGCCTTCGCGCGCTGCCCGAGGCCTTGCCACCCTGCGCGCGGCCCTGCGCGGCAGCTCTCGCGCGAGTGTCCGCGCAGTCGACCCCGGGCTCGTCCGTCACTCGCGCGGCGCCCGGGGGCATCCCTCGTGGGGCCCGCAGGGTGATAGGGGGGAGCGGCAGCGGGGGACCAGCTCAGCTGTGGGAGGCGTCGAGCCCGAAGCGGCCACCCATCGCCGATGCATCGGCGGTGGGCCCCCGATGGCGAAAGCTTGACGCGGATGGGCGGGGTGCGCCGTCCCGCCCCGCTCGACGGCTGGGGTTCGCTGCGTTCCCCTCTGAGCCCATCCCCCCTGCCTGCCGCTGCCCCCGACAGGGCTCCACGGGGGTGGCACCTCGGGCCAGGACCATCGGCCTCCGACCCGGGGAGGGGCCGAGCCCCCGGCTGGCGGCCAGCGCCCGTCGGGCGCTCGCGGCGCGGGGTCGGAGTGCCCAGAGCCTGTGTCCCTTTCGACGAAGGCAAACTTACTTGCATGGCGTTCGGCCCCCCCCCCCCACCCCAAACCCCCCTCCTCGCCCCTCCTCGATCGAATACGGGCATGCAAGTGCCTTTCGGCGTGCATGGACTCTGCACGTCAAGTCGTTTGCGGCTTGCTTCAGGTTCGGGCCCCCGCCCCCCGTCCATGCCAGCAGACTTGCCAGAGTCTAAAAAGACAGGCCCCCAGCCAGAGAAAGGAGCCCCCAGCAAAGCGCGGAGCACCCCACGAGCAGCAGAAGGTGCAGCCGGGACAGGGGCCGTGGCCGCCCAGACCCAAACATGCAGCCGGCAGGAGACTGGCGATAACCCGGTTATCCCGAGGGAGGGGAAGGGGAGGAGGGGGCCGGCCGATAAGCTGACCCTCGCGCTGTGGGCAACCCTGCACATGCCCGCGCCCCCCCTCCCGCGGACCTGCACAACCGGCAAAGTGAGATTGTCCTGGGGGGGGGGTCAGGGGGGGAGCAAGCCCGATAACCCGGGTTATCGCCGGACTCGCTGGAATCCTCCTGCTCCTCAACCTCCTCCTCCTCCTCCTCCTCCTCCTCCTCCTCCTCCCTCCTCCCTCCTCCTTCCTGCTTCCTGCTCCTCCTCCTCCTCCTCCTCCTCCTCCTCCTCCTCCTTCCCTTCCTCCTTCCTCCTTCCTCCTTCCTCCTTCCTCCTTCCTCCTTCCTCCTTCCTCCTTCCTCCTCCTCCTCCCTCCTCCTTTCTCCTCCTCCTCCTCCTCGTCCTCCTCCTCCTTCTCCTCCTCGTCCTCCTCCTCCTTCTCCTCCTCGTCCCCCTCCTCCTCTTCCTGCCTCCTCCTCCCAGAAAAAACAATCTCCAGTGCGACGAGAGCACGCTCCTCGAGGAATGTGCCAGGGGAAGTCGCATGGCGAAACGGCCGCTGGACGGGGCGTCCTCAGGCTCCCCGCCCCCCCCCCCCGGTGGGACTCGTCCGTGTTTTTTTTGCTGCCACTGTCGGTGCCCTCTCGCGAAACGCCATCCTCGGAGGCCTGGGAAGGGGCACCAACACCGACACGGGGGGGTCGCCCCCACAGGGGGGAGACGATCCAAGGTTTCGGTGTTGGTGGTACACTATGTCGGCCACCTTGGGAGCCAGAGTATTACCACCGTCGCCGGGATCGAAATCTCTCCTTCCCTCGGTGGAGGCACGCCGCCGATACCGTTGCTGGTGTCAACCTCACGGCCTGCGCCATCGGGGAAACGTGCCGGACCCTCGGGCAGCGGCAGGGGCCGCCTGCGGGGCTGCCGCGGCGAACAGCCCGCCGGCAGGCGCGGGCGCCGGCGGCGCTGCGGCGGCAGCGGGGGGCATGCCGAACGCGTTCGCCACGCCGGGGGCCTAGCCGCGGCCGGGGCAACCCAGGACCTCCTCCTCCTCCTCCTCCTCCTCCGACGACGACGACGGTTTCGGAAGTTCTCGTTGGTTCCTGGAGGCTTCCTGTGCTCGGGGCGCGTTCCAGCAGGCTGCGCTTCGCCGAGAGCGCTCCGGGCGGGGCCAGCCTCGTCCCAGAGGGCCGCAGGAAGCCCGCCATATTACAAGGGCCTGCAAGCCAGGTCTCCAAGGATGCGCGAATCTCAAAACATCCCTTCGCGGTTTCCTCAGTGTCGGCCTCTGGGGTGCGCCGTGGGGCCCCAGAGGCGAAACACTGTCCCTGGGGGGACGGGTCGCGGCCTCGGGGGCCGCGCAGTCAACCAAGGACACCTCGTCGGATGTCTGGGGAGGGGCGCGCCACGCGGGCGAGCCTGAAGCCGTGGCGCCGCAGGCTCTGCAACCCTGGCGTCGCTGGCCCCCGGGGTTAAGTCGGGCCTGCCCCTCTACAGGAGGGATGTTCAAAAACAGTCAGAAAATGATAGGGGGAGGATGTTCTGACCATTTCTGTCCATTTTGGGAACTTGGTTTGAGCATTTTTTTCATTCTGTCGTCCAAACTCCCCCCTGGTAGGAGGACACGCCCGACCCAACCCCTGGAGGCCCTCGCAGGCCGAGAAGCATACCGGGCTCGAGGGGCGCCGCCGCAGGCTATATGGGTGGGGCCCGCAGGGCCCCGGCCAGGGCTGCTCCGCGGCCCCAGAGATGGTCTGGTACCGGAAATTTTCGGCAGCGATTTCGACGCACCCCGAATTTTCGGTAGCGATTTCGACGCACCCCGAATTTCGGTAGCGACCGGATCTTCGTTTGAGGGCGCTGAGATAGCGGATCTCAGAGCGCTCTGATGCCGGTGTTGGGCGCTACAGTTCGGTATTTCGGCAGCGACCGATCTCTGCGGAGCGCTGCCGGAAATGTTCGGTAGCGGACCATCAGGGGCGAGAAAGCATGCCGGGAGGCCCGAGGCCCGCTGGGACTCCTGCGAACGGAGGAGCCCCGACCCCCCCGACGCTGCGATGCTGTCCTGACGTCGACCCCCAGAGGCCTCGACCTCTGCCCCGGGACCAGCCTTTCGTCCCGAGTCGTTTTGGGACAGTCCCGAGGCCCGGGTAAGGGCCCGGGCCCGCAGGAGCAGAAACATCGTGCAAAGCTGCACGTCGTGAGGTGCTCCTTGCTCGAGGGGGCTAAAGGGGTGCCTCCCTGGGCGCGCTGGCGGTTCCCTCACGGTGCGGCCACTTTTTCGCGACGTCGGGTTGCGGGGGAAGGCGAGGGCGCGCGATGTCACGCCGGCCGGCGGGCGGGCGCCCCGCAGGAGGTCGGGGGGGGGGGAGCCCAGCGCTCTCGCCGCGGGGCCCCGTCTCTCTATACCCCTGGGGCCGCCTCTGGCGCCGCCCCCGGCGCACTCTGGGCAGCCGGTGAGGCAGACGCGCTCTGCGGTCGGCGGCAACTCATATGGGAGCCTCCCATACTATCTTGTCGGCTCTTGCAAATCGACGCTAGTCGACGCTAAATCGACGCTAATCGATGCTAGCCGACGCTAAATCGGCGCTATCTCACCGACTCCCAGGTGCTAATCGACGCTAGTCGACGCTAAAGACAGAATTACGAGAGTACACAAGTCTCCCATGATTTGCTACCGAACTCCGCGTGTCGATGAGACTTCAAGCTGTTGGACGAAGGAGAAGCGCCACCAGCGTCTTCACTGCCAAGGGTCACAGAGCAGACAGACAAACAGACAAGCCGTACACAAAGCTGTGCGCGTGCAAGAGCACACACTGGAAAATTGAACACTACCTGCACAGGGGAAGATCCTCATGAAGGTGTGATGGCGTTGTTTTTGCGGCGAATCGTTCGAAATATTTGCAAGATTCAGCCGGGGATAATCCCTGCTGGTGGTGGTGGTCCTTGCTCGCTCCTCTGAGCTTGGTGCATCATTTTTGTTTTGGATGTTCTGGCTCAGTGACAGTCTTGGGGGCCCCTGAGGACCAGCCAGACCGCTTAACACAGGTGCTGGGGTTGGGGTGGAGAGCTCTGACGGAGGTCTGGGTAGCGATGCAGCGATGGAAGGGTGGACACGACTACAGAGGAATTGATAAACAAACTTGATTGCTCTCGAGGCAAGACTAGCAGCGTGCGTGTGACAAATCCTCGAACCTACTTGCCCGAGCTCAACACTTCGCACATCTAACGCTTACGATTGGTCCTGTCGTCAAGGGGTTGAACATTGTGAATTTCCTGGGCCTCTCTGCCCAAGATGGTTCCAGAATCAAGACGGTCTACGACGGCCCAAAGACGGCCAACACAGGAGCCCAAGCCGACCCCAAAACGGGCCTGGTGCTCCCCATTGAGTCTCTCGAGGCACACACACACACTGCTGGCCTCATGTCCCACGGCCTTCTCGGCGGTACCCGAAGCGTTGCCGCACACAACCTGCTGCGGTGGCGGGACTTGCCGCAGGCAGCTGGATGGATGGACGGCGCCATTTGGAGGAGGACGGGTTACTCCACTGACCACCTACCAGACCACGCCAACCCAACCCGAAGGCCCGAATTTCGAGTTTGGGAACGGTATGGGCTCCATATGTGTTTTTGTCGATGTTCCCGACCCCCCCCCCACACACACTGGAAATGGAGGGCAACTGGAGGCCTTCGGGTTGGGCTGGGGTGGCTTGGCGGGTGGTGATCCACCACCACCACCGCAGACTCCTCGGCTCGCCACGGGGCCTTGGGAGTTCCAGAGAGCAAGCAGCTGGATAGATTGAGCAATGACCGACCGTCCTGGCATTCCTATAGTCCTACCACGAAATGTTCTTAGAACCGGAAAACGGTCTAAGAACAACAACAATGTACTTAGATCACTAACTAACCCGATGTGATAAAACAGGACAGTCCCAGCCAGAAATGTGCTGAGAACATGTCGTGCAAACCACCAAGGGCTCTAAAAGAACTTTGTTTGGTAGGGCTAAAGGCACGCCAGGACGCTTCGCCAATGCTTGAATAGATGGACAAGGGGGGGGGGCCTGGAGGCACGAGCAGGAAGCCCCTACGGGAGGCGCTCACTCTTGAGTCGAGCGGACTTCGGCCCACAGACTGCGGCGCCTGCCTCTGGAGGAGCACGGGCGACCCCACCCCGCACCACCGCAGACTCACCGGCTCGCCTCTCGGAGCCCTGGGAGCTCCCGGGGGGATGCCTGGAGGCCCGATGGAGGCCCGAGAAATAGGGGCTCGGTCACAGGAGGCGCTCACTCCGTGCCCTCCTGCTCGCCCGCGGCGCCCTCGTCGGCGGCGCCCTCGTCGGCGCCGCCCTCGCGGGGGCAACAAACGGTACCGACACCGCTACTCCCCGGACCTCTCGAGGGGTGCGTCCTGGCCAGGAGTTCGGGGAGAACCGAGCCGTGGCGACGAGAGCTCGTCAGCACGAGCAGGGGCACCGGTGTGGCGACGAGAGCTCTCCTGGACGGGCGGGGGCAGATCGGTACCTCGAGGAACGGCAGCTCCCAGGCGGTCCCAGTGGACCACTCCTGGGGCCCAAGCGAGCCAAGTTCCCGAGCTGCGTCCAGCCTTGGCGACGTGCCCCTCCCCCCGGAGGCCAGCTACCACTGTTTCGAATACGGTAGGAGCTCGACCACAGGGAACCTGCCACAAGAAACCCAACCCTGAGACCCCAGGACGTCCACTGGTGTTGTGGTGTGGGAAAGTCGCGCTTTCCATGGCACTACCATCGAAACCCAAGAAGCCCATGGGACCCTGGAGGCAAGCAGGGTGTTTCTTGGCATGGGTTTCCTCTGTATGACAAAATGTTGAAGAAAATCCAGCCGTGGCGACGAGAGTTCTCCAAGACAAGCAGCGTTATCGGTACGGCAAACTCGTGTCGTGACGACCCCGTCGTTGGTTTCTGGCGCCGTGTGGATCGTTCCACCTTCTACGATCGGCGGTGTTCGATCGCCACATCGTTCCACGTTGGCTGGCTCTGAGCCAATGGCGGCGTTCAAATTCGAACGCCCGTTCCAAGATCGACGCCTCGTCGACACGACACGAACCTACGGTAAAGATATCGTCATCGATTACTCCTTTCTCGCGGGTCGATTGACTCGGGTCGATCCAGATCCGGGTCGATCAGGCTTTGCAGCAAAATCAGGATCCTGCACGCGAGCTCGGATCAGTGCACCCCTGGCCCTGCAGGATCCTGCAAGATCCGGCGCCCTGGCCGACCCCGGTTTGCACTGATGGGGAAGGTGCCGATACCGCTATTCCCCGGACCTCCCCCAGGGTGCGTTCTGACCAGAATTCCGAGGCGAATCATGCGGTGGCGACGAGGGCCTCCCAGGAGGCACCAAAAAGGGAAGCACGAGGGAAGGGTAGAGGTATGGGTAGGTACCTCTTCCTCCTCTTGAACTGACCCCCGTGTCTCGAGCCACGACTTCGCCCCCGAGTCCTGCTCGCTGGCCGCGTTGCCCAGGTCCCCGCTCGCGGAGCTCTTGGCGTCCTCCCCTCGCCCACTCCGCCCCTCGCTCTCGGCCTCGCTCTTGGAGGCCTCGTCGGCCTCCCGGTCGTCCCTCTGCTCGGCGGCGCGGAGGAGCGGGCGGCCGGGCAACGCCACGGGGGGTCGCCGCTGGGCGGGGGGAAATCTGCGAGGGTGTCTTGTTGCTCCGATGGTACGTGTTTATGGTTGTTGTTGCTTGCGCGGGTGTCTTTTCTCTGACTGCGCGGAGGAGCAGGGAGATGAGGAGCAGGAGCATGAGGAGGATTATGATGATGATGATGATGATGATGATGATGACGATGATGATGATGATGATGATGCTGCTGCTGCTGCTGATGATGATGATGATGAAGACGAGACTGAACATGACGAGGAGAAGGGAAGAGGATGTTAATGGTGATGATGATGGTGGTGATAACGATGACGATGACGATGACGATGCCGATGACGATGACGATGCTGCTGATGATGATGATGATGATGATGCTGCTACTGATGATGATGCTGCTGATGATGATGACGATGATGATGCTGCTGCTGCGGCCGCCGACGACGACGATGATGATTATGATGATGATGATGATGATGATGATGATGATGATGATGATGATGATCACGAATCCCTGGGAGATGATGATGATGATGATGATGATGATGATGATGATGACAATGACGATGACGATGACAATGACGATGATGCTGATGATGCTGATGATGATGATGACCACGACGACGACGACGATGATGATGATGAAGCTGATGCTGATGCTGATGCTGATGCTGATGATGCTGATGATGATGATGATGCTGCTGATGATGATAATGATGATGACGACCACGACGACGACGACGATGATGATGCTGAAGCTGATGCTGATGCTGATGCTCATGCTGATGATGCTGATGCTGATGCTGATGATGCTGATGCTGATGCTGATGCTGATGCTGATGCTGATGCTGATGATGATGATGATGATGATGATGATGATGATGATGATGATGATGATGATGATGATGATTGATGATGAATCTGATGATGAGGATGATGATGAGGAGGAGAAAAGCCTCCCGCCACACAATCTTTAATCTCACCCCCACGGCGGGTCTCCACTTCTGCCACGAAGCGCTGTGTCCTCGAGGGAGGTGGGGCCCCCAGGAGCACGACAGAGGCCCCCCCAAGAAAGCATAATTGTTTGGGCGCTCCGCGCGAATTTCTTGGATCTGCACCAGACCCCCTTTCCTGGCGCGCGGAGCGCGTCGGGGGCGGCGCCGGAGGTGCCGCCGGGGGTGCCCAGCGCGGATCCAAGAAATCCGCGCGGAGCGCCAAAAATTTCTGCTTATGGCGTTTTTCTCTTCTTCTTCTTCTTCGACAGAAGCCTCCTGGAGCCAGGATCCTGGGACCTCGACCCTCAGGAGGAGCTGGTGACACCACTAGTGGTAAGCCCCCCTTGGCACTGCCCGAGCTGGGGCGGCGGGGGGGGGGCGGCCTTCTGCAAGAGGCTTGGGGCTTCTCGGCAGCCCTCCCGCCTCCGACGTCTGACGTCGGAGCAAGGCACCCACACCTCGCCGCACCGTGAGCACAGAAATAACGTGACGCGGGGGTTTGAGCCGTTTTCGGCCTGCAGGGGCCCTCGCCAGCCCTGGGACTCTAAACACGCACTGCACTGCGGATAAGAAGAGCAGTCCCTGGGAAGGGGGCTCATCGGCGGCGAGCAGGGGGGGAAATGGGAGGGGGCGGACCTTCTCAGAAGTCTCGGAATCCCCCTGCCTTCTGAGAAGTTTTCTAAGCCGTCCCCGAAGACGCAGATAACTTCTCAGAAGGCGCGAGGGCCTCTGAGAAGCCACGCCACCTTCTGAGACTGCCTTCTACTTCTCACTTCCCACCCTCGCTCGCCGACGAGTTCAGACCTCGGAGGGTCCACGTTGCGAACGAATGAATACGTCGGGGCGTGGGACGAGCGATACCACCACCAGCGCGAGGAGCCAGCAGGGGGTCCTGCTGGTGGTGTGCCCCCCTCCCCGCTCGAGACATCCTCCTCCCCAGCTCGGGGAGGTATCGTGGGCCTCCTCGCTGGAAGCGGCAGCCCTGGTGGAGGTGGTGTCGCTTTTCTTCCCTCCGCCCAACGTCAGAAGAGGAACAGGTACCCATAAACCCATACCTCTACCCTTCCCCTGTCTCGCCTTTTCTGGGGCCTTTTCCCACGAAGAGCCCTGTCAGAAGCCTCCAGACCCTTCCAAAAAGGCGCCTGCCTTCTTAGACTGCCGCCCCCCTTCCCTCGCGCCAGGCCACCCCCCTTGCGCCCCGCCGGTTCTCGTCCTCGTCGTCCTTCTTATTTTTTTTGCTCTTCTCCTCGGGGTGCTTTTCCAGCCACGCGGCGAACGTGGCCTTCACCTTCGTCTTGCGATCGTCGTAGCACTTCTTGCACATGTCGAAGTTGCAATTCTCTCTGCACTGGTACAGTGTGCCAGCGACGCCGCACACGTCGCAATAGTGAGTCCTGGTGAGCTTCACCTTTTCCATCCGGTGGCCTTTCTTACACTCCACATGCTTCGGAGGCTTCGCTCCACTTATCTTGGCCCACGCTACCTTCAGCGAGTCGTAACTCAACCCGCCAACTGCGATGACGCCCAGAGCAATGAAGATGGCCTTCATCTTCGGATTCTTGGCCTGCTCGCAATCACAACCCCGCTTCCAGCACTCGAGCAAAACTTCGTATTTGGCCTCGGTGACCTCGACCTCAAACGTCCCGTCTTCCGTCTCGACCTCTATCATTTCGCCGTCGTGCTTTGCCCAGTCCAAGCCGCCCTGAAAAAAACCGTCACAGCGCCTTGACGCAGCTGGTGCGCGTGTCGTTAGATGCTGTTTGGCTTGGCACCCTGCGACGCCACAAGTTGGCTTTCATCTCATCGAGACTGTGTGGAGGACTCTCTAGAAGTCCTGAACCCAAAAATGTGTTCCTCTCTTTGGGATGCATCTTTTACTTTCGCCGCCTTCCGCCGGCCTTCCGCCGGCTTCCGCGGGCGGAGGCGACCTCGCTTTACTTCCACCGACCGCCTGCCGCCCTTCTGCCGCCTTCCGCCGAGGAAGAGATGATAGCTCCTTCGATCCTCCAAGGCGAAGCCCTTTTTGGAACGCTCCAAGTGCAAAGATTCGGCTCCGTGCCAGTGCCCTGTGCATCTTGCGGCTGCTGCGGCTTTTCTGGGTGGCCGCCCCGGTGCCGTACGGTCGGTGCCCTGCGGCTGGTGCCAGTTTTATGGCCAGCTGGGCGGCTGCGACTTCCTGATGGTCGCCCTGGTGTCCTGTGTTTCACCTGGGGCCCAGAGATCTACACCACCACCGCCTCCCTCGCCCCCCTCCCTCCCCAAGGATTCTAGGATTCCAGGTTGGCCTCGTGCGCGCCCAAAGAGGGGCACGAGGTCCAGGTGGAGAAAAACAAGCAGCCACAGGCGGCAGCGGCGACGGCGGCGGCCGGGCCGGCGACGGCGACGACGACACGACAAACGACGGGACGCCCGCAGCGGCACGACCGACGACGGCGGCAGGAAAGGAAGAGGCGGGAGGAGGAGGGAGGGGGAACGGATGTGGTGGTGGTGGTGGTGGTGGTGGTGGTGGTGGTGGTGGTGGTGGTGGTGGTGTATGTGCTTGGCGCCCGCACAGTTGTGCTCGAGGGTGCCCTGTCATCGGCATCCCGTGGTCGCCGCCCCAGAGGGCCGTGGGTGGCGCTGGCCCTGGCGAGAGCGCCCTTCGGGTGGTCGCCATGGGGCCCTGTGGCGGATGCACTGTGATGGATGAGCCGTGAGGGCCGAGGGCTGGTGCCCTGCAGTCGGACCGAGGCCAGAAGCACGTCCTCCACGAACATGCGACCCTCCGTCGGCCAAGACAAAACCGGACATCCCAAGGGCACCCTCGCCCCAGGATCCACAGGAACCTCCGACGGACACGAAGAACACCAGGGTTCCCTCCGCGAGCCGACCTCGCTCTTCTACCTTCGGGCTGGGCGAAAGGGGGGAATAGCGAAGGGGGGGGGGGAGAATCAGCTCACGCAGCTGATTTCCCGGCGCCTCCCGGCGCCAGAGGCGGCCACGTATCGAGGAATGGGCCCGGCGGCGGGGCCGAAACCAGCCGCGTGCCGCAGATTTCGTACCCCCCCTTCCCCCTATCCCCCCCTTTCGCTCGGCCCGGCACCTCGGTCCGACTGCACGCGCAGTGGAGCAGAGCGCGGCAGGCAGACAGAACCTCGCGGAACTCCGCGCGAGGATTCCCTGGGCCGACGCACCTGGACTCCCCCCGTCGAGCAGGGGCGGGCGTAGGAGGAGGAGGGGGAGGAGGAGGAGGAGGAGGAGGAGGAGGAGGAGGAGGCAGGAGGAAGAGGACTCCCCCCTGGCGGCACCTCCGGGCGCACAGGCTCGTGCCAGTGGTGGTCTCCCGGCCAGGGTCGCCGGCCTGCAGGCTCGCTCCTGGGTCCCGCTCGCGCTTGCGGCTGCAGCCTTCGAGCAGGGGATTGGCTACAGAATTGGCTTACGCCAGATTGGAAGTTTTCGTCGGATCTATCTGTGAGAACAAACTTTCTAAGCGCTGCTCTTGGAATCGACGGGAACTCAAACTCTGAAGTAAATCAATTATCCCAGTGCGACCCTACCTAGGAGTTGGAGCCCCTAGGAAAGCAGCATTAGTAGTATCAGTAAAGCTAAGCTAAAGCTAAGATGCTGCTAAGCTACAGCTAAGATAAAGCTAAGCTAAAGCTAAGCTAAAGCTAAGCTAAAGCTACGCTAAAGCTAATAAGCTAAGCTAAAGCTAAGCTACAGCTAAGCTAAAGCTAAGCTAAAGCTAAGCTAAAGCTAAGCTAAAGCTAAGCTACAGTTAAAGCTAAGCTAAAACTGAGCTAAAGCTAAGCTGAAGTTAAGCTAAAGCTAAGCTAAATATAAGCTACAGCTAAGCTAAATATAAGCTTAAGCTAAGCAGCAGCTAAATTTGAAGCTAAGCTAAAGCTAAGCTAAAGCTAAGCTAAAGCTAAGCTAAAGCTAAGTTAAAGCTAAGCTAACGCTAAGCTGAAGCTAAGCTAAAATTAAGCCAACGCTAACCTAACGCTAAGCTAAAGCTAGCTAAATCTAAGCTAAAGCTAAGCTAAAGCTAAGCTAAAGTTAAGCTGAAGCTAAGCTAAAGCTAAGCTATTTTTAAAGCTAAGCTAAAGCTAAACTAAGACTCAGCTAAAGTTAAGCTAAAGCTAAGCTAAAGCTAAGCTAAAGTTAAGCTAAAGCTAAGCTAAAGCTAAAGTCAAAGCTAAAGCTAAAAGCTAAGGCTAAAGCTCCCAGGGGACTGGGGGAACCGCGGGGCGGGGACCGGGGGAACCGCCCGGGGCGCTTTCCACTGCCCGGCCCCTTTAAGCTAAGAGAGTAATGACCCTTCTAGGCAGAGCCAAGGTAGGGAATTATGTGATCGATCGCCAAATTGAAATCTCCTGGGCGCCACCCTCGTGACCTATGGTTGGTGCCCTGTGGTTGCGGCTCTGCGATTCTGCCCTGTGTGGTTGGTGCCCAGCGGGCGCTCTCTGGCTTGATACATCCTCGCAACTCTGGTCTCCGATAAGGACGGGGGAAGGATGGTGAGTAAGACCCAACCGAATCATTTGACGACTCTTCTGTTTTCGAATTTGCTCTACGAGGGGTCTGGGCGCCGCCTGGAACATCCTCGCAACTCTGAGTTCCGAGATGCAGTGCGCGAGGTGGTCCAGCGCGTTTCGCGTGAGACATCCTCGCAACTCTGAGCTCCGAGAAAATGTGCGCAGAGTGGTTCTGCCCGTTTCGCTGGAAACATGATTGCCGTTCGGGGCTCCAACATGCTGGGCGCGAGGTGTTCTGGCGCGTTTCGCCTGAGGCGTCCTCGGACCGAGAGGGAGGGAGAAGGCCCGACGGAGGAGGTAGCGGCGCCCAGGCGCGAGCGCGATTCCTGAGTCATTCCGAAGGTTTCTCAGGGGGCAGCCATGCTTGAGCACGTCGCGGGGATGCCTCGGGCGGGAGCGCGGTGAGCAGGGAGGAGGCAGGACGGGGCAGGAGGAAGGAAGGAGGAGAAAGGAACAATCGAGAAGGGAGACGGGGCCAGGACCGATCGACCTGTGTGAGGGAATCCCTGGCGAGGATGCCTCCTGGAAGCGACATCGACAGTGCGACGGCATCCCTGGCATGGAGGTGGAAGCGAAATAGAGGAGGGACGAGGAGGAGGAGGAGGAGGAGGAGGAGGAGGACGGGGAGGACGAGGAGAACGGGGAGGTGGAGGAGGAGCATTGCGACGAGGAGCAGGAGGAGAAGAAGAAGAACCACTGCGAAGAGGAGGAGGAGGAGGACGAGGAACACGAGGAATAGTACGATGACAACAAGGAGCACTGCGAACAGGAGGATGAGCAGGATGAGTAAAAAGAAAAGGAGTGCGATGAGGAGGTACGAGTCTGACGAGGGTGATCAGGAGGAAAACGACGAGGAGGACAACCACCAGGAGGATGAGGAGGATTTGTATGAGGAGGGGGAGAGTTATAGAAGGAGAGGGAAGAGGGGGTGGAGGACCAGGAGGATCAGGATGAGGAGGAGGAGAAAGACGACGACGACTAGGAACGGGAGGAAGAGAGGATTGGGATCATGCTGAGGAGGAGGAGGATGAGGTGGATGGGAAGAGGGCGAGGGCGGAAAGGATAATGACGTGGATGCGGATGAGGAGGACGACGACGATGACGGAAAGCTCGACGACGACGCCGAAGGCGCAGGCGGATCAGGAGGAGGAGGCCGCGCGAACACTCTGAGGCACCACCTCGGCTCGAAAAGTGCAGCTTGGGAACATGGGGCTCTGGCTGCTCTCTGTCTTCCCTTACTTTGCATCGGCACACGGAGAACACTGGCTCCCGCCACCGAAGGCCCCAGCGACTGCGTTCGCATGCAGTGCCCCGCCCGTCTCGGCACACCCCTCACACGCTCCGGGGCCCCACAGGGAGCTCCACCGAAGGCTCCAGCGGCTGCGTCCGCGTGCGGCTGCCCCGAGAAACGGGAACAGCTCTGGCGGGGTCCGTGCTGCTCCTGCCTCCCGACCCCCCCCCGCCGCCTTCCCGTAAGCGCCCGCCGCTGCCCCGTCCCCCCCCCTCCTCCACCCTCGCCCCCGCCCGCCCTCCGTCCCATCGCCCCGCTCCCCAACGCCCCCGCCCCCCCCCCTCCGCTCCCGCCCGCCGCCCCCCCATCCATCCCACCGCCCCGCTCCTCCCTGCCCCCGCCCCCGTGCCCTCGCCCATCGCTCCCGCCCGCACTCCCCCGTCCATCCCATCGCCCCGCCGCGCCCCCCCTCCCCCCCCCTCGCCCCCGCCCGCCGCCGCCCCGTCCTCGCACCCGCGCCCTCCTCGCTTCCGCCCCCGCCCGACCCCGCCCACCCCCCCCCGCCTCCCAGGCCAGGGGGCGGTGGCGACTCTGCGCGGCAGCGCAGAAAGATATCGTGCTGATGTTCTCGGCGATGCGCCGCTTGTACTCCCCTGCCGGACCGCACGTCCTGGAGAAGTTGACCATTGTGCTGTAGTTGGCGCCTCCGAGCTTCACAAGTCTTCTGCACTGGCCCTCGGTGCCGTTTATCCTCACGTACATCTCCCCGCTGGCAAAGGTGATGCCGGTGAAAGGCGACATGCCGTCCGACTTCGGGCAATCCGGAGGGCCCTTGCCCTTCTTCTGCGCTCCGCCGCCGCGCTTGCTCGCCTCGTACTGGTCGAACATGTCGCGCTTCATGCCGGGCAGCTCGCTCCTGCCGCCGTCGATGGACTGCGCCGCAGCCGGCGCCACCCGAGAAGCGCAGAGCAGCAGCGCGAGCGCGGCAACGCAGGGCCCCGCCCTCGGGCTCCACGCCTGCCAGCGCCGCGGCGGGGCCCTGCTGCTGCACACCTCGCGCGGTGGAGGCCCGTGCCGTGGCAGAGCGGTGGTGCGCGGGGCCATCGCGGGGCCGGGGGCACGCGTGGGCGCCGCGGGGCGCGCTGCCAAAACTTGAGCCAAACCACCCCTCGAGGAGGCAAGCGATTGCCTCCGAGCTCTGCGGTCGGTCCCTCCTTCACTCTTCTGCAGGGCACCTCTTGCAGGACTCGGTATCGGAGGTCGGTCTCACGAGGGAGATTGAAGGTGCCCTCCTCGTGCTCCTTCACGTCCTCCACCTTTTGAGCGGCAGGCTATGCGTTAAAAAAGGGAAGGGTGGGGAATGGGGCAACGAAAAGAAAACATGCAACTCCAGAAGAGGGGGAGGAGGAGGAGGAGGAGGAGGAGGAGGAGGAGGAGGAGGAGGAGGAGGAAGAGGAGGAGGAGGAGGAGGAGGAGGAGGAGGAGGAGGAGGAGTGGAGGAGGAGGACGAGGAGGAGGAGCAGGCTGACACATGTTCAAAAGCTCAAGGCTCAAGATCCCGACCGAATCTGTGCGACTGGTTTCTCAAGCTGCGGGTCCTGGGGCGGGCGCAGGCGCCCGCCGTACAGGTTTTAAGGACTCCAGGGTGTGAGGTGAGGGGCCGAATACGAGAAAGATGCGGACATCGGAGACTAACAAGGGAAGAATCCATGAAGCATTGCCCCTAATATGATCCTGGTTATTGTGTTGCCCATCGTGGAACAAATTCTGTTGTTCGCCACGGCGGCAAAACCGTCACCGACACTGCGGCCGACGCCTGGGAACGGGGCGCTGTCTCGCGCAAGCGCCGCTGCATTAGCACGCACGTCGCAACCACCTGGCCGACGGAGGGGGCCAAACGACTCTTTCATCTCGAATCCTGACGGATCGCGTCGAAAAGGTTATCCGCAAACCATCATGCCCCTGACCCCCAGCGCTCACTGAGCGTTCATGCGTTGATGATGATTGTCGCGCCACAGCGCGCCCCCCCCTCCGTTGCTAGACAGTACCGAAAACAAACGAATAAACAACAAGCTATACGACCACCCTTCGGGTGATGCGGAGGTCGTATGGGGGAAGGAGTTCAGCTTCGGGTGTGCGATTGGGATCGGATCGGAGTCGGCGGAAGCCAGCTGGGCACATCGGAGCACCTGTTTGGCCATCTATCTATCGATCTCTCTATTTCTGTCTACTTGTCTATCCCACTCTCGATCTTCCTCTATCTATGGATCTCACAGTCGACCTCACTCGATTTGTCTATCGGGCTCACTATCGATCTTACAATCGACCTTACAAGAAACCACGGGCACCACGGGACACCACGGGGCACCGGGGCACCGACGGGACAACCCCGAGCCACCGCCGGCCAACCGGGGGGCGTAGAGTCATTGAGCTCAGTTTTACCCTAGCTACTGCGGGTTCATTCCTCTCGCCCGCCCGCGCAGCTTCGCCTCGCCCGCACGAAACCCACGAACACGAGATTTCACAGCGGGGGTCTCCGTGTCACTTCGAACTCTTCGCCCAACCTCCGATCTCCGAATTTCTTCCTGGACGCAGCCATTTCTGCTCTTCCCATGCCCAAGCAGAACTGCGCACCCCATCCCCAAGAAACCAATCGATTGCTTTAGCGGCTTGCTCCCTCCCCCGACGAGGCACACCGAGGCGCAGCAACTTTCGAGCCGATGGCCAACGCGCGCGCCCGCAAACAAAAACAAACAGCGGACAACCTGCCAACTCATTCCTGGATGAAAGCGATGGGGCGACATATCCTCTGCCGCTAGCCCCAGACGGCCCCGCCTCGGGCCCCAGGCTGGTGCACAGTGTAGCACCTCCTGGCCTGGTGGTCCACGGCAGACAGAGCCGCACGAGAACATACATCTTGCTATGCGCTACAAAGGCCCGCGGGGCACACTGCTCGTCGACGCCTGAGCTTCCCGAGATGCCCCCGGGCGCCTGTGGGCCCCCGAGGCCGCTGGGGCAAAACAAACTTCCGGGGGGCACCTGCTGGCAGGCCAGTCTCTTGTTTGGCGCGCCTGCCACACACACACACACACGCACGCACGCACACACACACACACACACATACACACACACACACACACACACACGCACGCACGCACACACACACACACACACACACCGCTGGGCCCAAGATGGACCAGGCGGGTGGTGGCTGTGCACAGTTGGGCGACTTCCAGGGGAGAAGGTACACCGCCCCTCCCAGGTCGAGAACCTCCGCTCTCTGCGGACCCCCAGGGACTCTCAACACCACCTGTTGCATGCGCCGTGAGCAGGAGGAGAAGGACGAGGAGGAGGATGAGGCTGAGAAGAAGAAAGGAGGAGGAGAGGGAGGAGGAACGCTAAGATCTCAGCCATCCAATCCCGCCGAACCTGAAAAGGGAGGACGAGGTGGAGGAGCAGGAGGAGGAGGAGGAGGAGGAGGAGGAGGAGGAGGAGGAGGAGGAGGAGGAGGAGGAGAGCTGTTTTCTGTGGGCCTGGGCGCCCGAGACGGCCTCCCGTAAAGGTACCTCCACACCGAGCGCCCGCGCTGGCGTCGCCGCTGCCGCCGGCGCGGCGCAGACCTGGGCCCCGAAGGTCTATTCGGAGGCCTCCGGAGGCATCCCCCTCCTCGCCATCGCTCAGACGTCTCTTCCCGCGCATGTTTCGGCGTCGTGCGTGCAACCCTGAAAGGTCTTTAGAACCCCCCTTAGTAAGGGGCAGCTGATCATTTATTCGGCGGCCTTATTGAAGGACTGGGGTCCCACCAATAGGGGGTAACTAAGTACCTATTTCCGCGGCACCCGCCGCGCAACAACGACGACGACAGCCCTCAGGAGCGCTTTCACGGCAAATCCTAGCTCAGGAGGAGGAGGAGGAGGAGGCAATAGGATCAGTCTTATTCACCGCCGAGAGAAAATGTGGGGGGCCAACTCTCAAGACCTTCAGCGGTTATTCGTTCAAGAGGCCTAGCCTCCCGAAGCCCAAGAGCACTCTGGCGTGAGGGCGGCGGGCTTCTGGCGGAGGCGGGCCCCTGACCCCTGGGGCCCCCCCGGGGGATCTTCCCCCAGGGGATCACCCGATCGTTGACGGCCCTGGAGCACCGACGGAGCGAACCAAACGAGCACAGGACTGCCTGCAGGACGCATGCTCTTCATGGCGATCCTGAAACATGAGCCTAGGTCGGGCATGTCCCTCTACAGGCGGATTGTGGGCGAAACATGAGAAGTAGAAAAACAAATAGTCACCATTGGTCAAAAGATTCGAGACATCGTCCCCCGACTAGTCTTTTACTATTCTTGAAAAGTCCTCCTGTTGAGGGACATGCCCGACTTAAACACAAGCCCCCCTCGACCGCTCTCGGGACACGTTTAGGCAAGAAGCTTCCGAGAAAGGAGCCCCGCCGTGGCGACGAGGATCATCCCGGATGTCTGCTCCCAGGATGCGTTAAACTGAAGGAGCCCTGGCACACACACACACACACACAAATAGAAACAAATAACAAGACTCCCCAAATGTTTCCATGTTTTCTGGGTTTCTGTCTTCCCCCCCACTTCCCATATTTTCCCATATTTTCTGGGGAGTCGACGATTCATTGTGTCTGTGTGTCTTTTCGCCTCCTGACAAACACAAAACCATAGATGTCATTGCACCGGCCTTGCAGACGTGCTGCAGCGGATTTCTGCGAGGAATTCTGCGTGGATTCTTGCCCGAAACGGGAAGCGGAAAACGAAGTGAATTTCGCGTGGATTATTTGGGTCTTGATTCCTGGCCAACAAAAACTCCGCACGAAATTCACCTCGAAAACCTGAACGAAATGCTCTAGGACACTCCAGACCCTCCCTATTGATTTCCGAGCGAAATCCACTCTGCGATGTTGGCGCCATCACAGATGTGACGCATGGCTGACCGTATGTCGCTCCCATCGCACTTAAGCACCACATCCCAGGAATAATGCCGAACACCCAGAAAAATGATCCAAACCGCGTGTGCCGGACGCGCTGGCGAAGGGTCGAAGGAGCACCGCCTCCCAGGGCGCGACACGTGAAAACCCTCCAGTTTCGGTACTTTCTTGGTGCTCGGAATTCTTTCTGGTGATCCAGGCTGAAGTAGGTCGGGACATCACAAAGCTGACTCCAGAAACCATGAGCCCAAAATGTTGAAACCTGGGGACACCAAGATGTACCCACACCGCTACTCCCCCGACCTCTCCCGGGGTGCGCTCTGACCAGGATTTCGAGGCGAATCCAGCGGTGGCGACAGGGGCCGCCCAGGAGGCCCAAAACGAGGAAAGCGGGCGAAGGCTAGAGGTATGTCGGCGGCGAGCAAGGGGGGGGGGGGGGGGAAGTGAGAAGGCGAAGGCCTCAGAAGCCCTTGCGCCTTCCGAGCAATTTTCTAGTCTATGGAGAAGGCTTAGAAGACTTCTCAGAAGGCCGGGGGAGTTCCGAACCTTCTGAGAAGGCCTTCTCCTTCTCACTTCCCCCCTCGCTCGCCACCGATATACGGGATCCTTGTGCCTACATGTTGCGTTGTTTCCCCGGGAAGCGGGAAACAGCAAGCATACACCGCACCAATCCCGACGTCGTCCCCGACCCTCGAAACCGACCCTGGGATGGAAAGAACAGCCCGCCACTGGCAATGTGCTATGATGCTCCCAACGTGCTCAAGGACCACATCCCAGAAATAATCCCGAGCACCCAGAACAAGTATCGAAACGGTGTCATAGGAGCATCGCCTCCGAGGGCCCGACACGTGAAAACCATCACGTTTCGGTATTGTCTTGGTGCGCGACAGTCGTTCTGGCGGTCAAGGCTAAAGAAAATATGTTGGAACATCATAAGTCGTGTGTATGTGTTCCGGTTTCCCATTCCTGCCGCCGCCCTCCGCCAGCCCTGCACCAGCCTCCCGCGGAGGGCCACGGGCGCATGTTCTGGCCCGCGCCACGCCGCGCGCGCGCGCTGGCGCAGAAATCAAGCGGGCCCCGAAAGGAACGGATCCTTCCTGGACCCTTCGAGCAGGAGGACGACGCTGGGACTGATGGCAGCATGGAGTTGCCCTCAAAGTTGAGGTGCTCGTATAATCTGCAAACACTACGCAGGGTGTGTGTGGGTGTGTGTGTGTGTGTGTCCTCTTCCGCGA